ATGCAGAATTTCTGTCATCATAATTTATGTTGAGATCTCCAGCTATAATAAGCTGATAATTGACTGTAAGGTTTGACAAAAGAATCTCCAATCTATATAAAAAAAAGCTGTGACATTACACATTGGTGGTCTATAAATACAAATAAAAAAGATATGATTTTTAGTATCATTTAATAACAATAACTCAAATTCTTTTTCAATGAGATGATCAAATTTATCAATGTTGTTTAGCGTCAGATTTTTGAAAGCATTTTTATTGACTAGAATCATTGTTCCCCTATGCAGAGATTGAGTCCTACAATACTTTGAAGCTGTTACATAATTCTGGCATTCAAAGAGTTCTTCAGATCTTAGCCAATGCTCTGTTCGAGAAAAATATAAATTCAATTACCTTTATTACGTACAGACTGGATGTTCAACAACAACAATGAGTAGATGTATACAGCCGAATTCCGGCCTCCCCCCACCACTATGACGTATTAATTGTTTTTTTGTTGTTGTTTAGTAACATCAAGGCGATGTAACCTTGAAGGGTCTGGTGAAGGGATCGTTCAGAATTTTTTTTATATGAAATTTTTGTGTGTGTGTATGTGTGTGACACAGTGCCGTAATTACATTTGATTGGTGTGTGTGTGAGAATGCACGGTAGAGAGTGCTTGTCTATGTACAAACATACGCCTGCATACTTCCAAGATCCTTCAAGTAATGAATGTTCCATCGGTGTGAGCCCACCAAGTTAGTAGTAGTGTGACGTCACAGCAGCAACCGTACAACGGTAAGAGAGCGAGATGTTCACTTCACGACGTGTGGCTGAGTAATGCGTATTCATCGGTCTGCCTTCATCTCTCTCGACGCGATAAAGGCTATGACGTAACGCATCGCTCTAGCCTCGCTATCGATGGTAACACGCAGGTGGCCGAGGACTGTGTTACTCCCCCCACCACTATGACGTATTAACTGTTTTTTTTTTGTTGTTCAGTAACATCAAGGCGATGTGACCTTGAAGTGTCTGGTGCATGGATCATTCAAAATTTTTTTCATATGAGATTTTGTGTGTGTGTGCGTGTGACATGATTACATTTGGTTGGTGTGTGTGTGTGTGAAGGCACGGTACAGGGTTTCATCAAGTGCTTGTCCATGTACAAACATACGTCTGCATACTTCAAAGATCCACCAAGTAATGAATGTTCCATCGGTGTGAGCCCACCAAGTTAGTACGTCTACATACTACACTTTCAACATTGAAATAATCTCTACATACGTCACACGATGTCGACAAGGTGACTTTGAAGTAGTATTTTGGATTTGACATACACGGTAGAGTTGGGATTTGACATTATCGTTCATGTGCACTCTGTACCATTTTGCACAGAATATACAAACGTCTGCATACCACGAAGATCAACTGACTAGTGCTCCTTCCTAATCAGTTTGGATGGTACCTATCGTGACAGAGAGTGCACACGTCTACACTCTCTGAAGTTCCAATGACCACTGCTTGGCTCGTATCACCATCTGTCAACACATCGAGTTGTGATGGTGGAGAGGTCGCAAGACACTTTCAATTCTGAAATGACATCAACATACGTCACACGATGTCGACAAGCAGACTTTGAAGAAGTCTTTACATGCGGACAAGACGACATTGAAGTAGTGTTTTGGGTTTGACATACACGGTAAAGTTAGGATTTGACATTATCGTTCATGTGTACTCTGTACCAGTTTGTACAGAATAAACACACGTCTGCATACCACGAAGATCCACTGACTAGTGCTCCTTCCTAATCAGTTTGGATGGTACCTATCGTGCACAACGAGTTGTGATCGTGAACACCATCATTCAGTATGTGAGAGCGCATCGAGATGAATTCGTCTTGAGTATATTCCTTCCAAAATTTTATTGGCATTGTCATAAAACGTATGTGAAACTGCTGATTACACAGAAATGGCTTATTCGAAATTCCAAAAGTAATACAACGGTTAATTCGAAATTCCAAAAGTATTACAGTGTTTCTAGTCACTGTATTTAGAAGTTGAAGAGCTTGAAATGTGGAAATAACGTAACAATGGATTAAGTTTGATTTTGAATAGTAGAGACTGCAAGTACTTTTTTTTTCATAGTTAGAAACCAATAATGATTATGACCACTTTAAAAATATATCTAATATGAACACGCCAGAGAAAAGTATAGTATACAGTACACAGTTATACAAATGATTCGGTTTTGCAAAATATTCAGTGAAAATTCCAAAAAAAGTGTTACTTGAAATATTCGATTTAATTGCTCGATTTTTCTAGTATTTCGCAACTTTGCGATTCTTGAACTATAATGTCTACGCAAAAATTGTATTAAATTCTGTACCTGAGAGGTGAACTGTCGTAACTAAAAAATTCTCGATTTTGGGGTTATTGATATAACTACATTATCGAGGTGTATATTCTTGACTGGATAGTTTTATCGTATCTGCACAGCTAATGAATGGCGTCATAGCCGATGTGACTTTGATGTATCTGTTATGATATGATATGTGTAAACTCAAGTAACTTGAGTTACAACTGCTCTCCTGTAAAATTTGCAAAATGTCAGTTACGATAGTTTACCTCTGAGGTACAGAATTTATAAAAAAATTATCGAATCGTTTCATTTTTCAAAAGATTTATAGGTGGCGCCATCTTTCCGTCGGTAGAAAACCTAATATCAAATGAATGATTTTTAACCAAAGTAGGCAACAAAAAATTCCTTATTTATGCTGTGGGTTGACTACTCACAAATTATATCAAATAGTATTTGAAAATTAGTTTAACAAACGAGCTTCCATTGAATCATCAGTGCATGGATGCAGAGACACAAATGAATGTCTAAGAAGTAAAAAAAAACACCAGTTGAAATACTCAACACAACATCAACTAAAAATTCATTTATACATTTACGTATGCATTGCGAGAACGTACAGTTATGCACCTACCATTTATGAAAAAAAAATATTAATCACTTTCATTCAGAACTTTCACCAATGTTTATAATGATAGGTGTAATATCCATAGCACAAAGAAGCTTTTCTCGTTCATACCATTTCTCTGCTAGATGTGTTTCACACATTTTGCCCAGGTTCCAGCATTGCACCTATCTAACGCTTCATTCCACATACTTAATACTTTTTCATCACTGTATCCATCTCTACCAATATATTTGTTATGTTAGGTTTTGCAATCAGCCCAAAGTAATTTAATAGCATTAAATTACTTTTTATCATTTTCATCAAAATCTGTTGTTTTCGTGTAACCAACTAACAATTTCCGATTTTCTAGAAGAACTGGTAGGCTGTTTATTCAAAATTTCACTGTGGTATGGTGCACTGTCCATTATAGTTGAAGATGATTCTTCCAAATTGGGAAGTAACTGTAAAGTAATCCACTTGGTGAACATCGTACTAGTCATTTCTCCATGGTGATCTAAGGTCAAAGATTTTGAACAGAACAATAAACTGGCTTCTGGAATAAACCCTTTCGTAGAACCAGCATGCACAAGAAATCGTTTACCATCATATCCTTCGGGTTTGCGTGCACTTTTTACATTATCATCCTGCCAAGACTTTCTTTTATTTCCTCTAGAATAAATCCATGTTTCATCTAAGAAAACCACTTCTCGTGGTTTTAAAATTCTTCGGTTTTCCTGGTATTTGCGTAAAAAGCTCTTCGATTATCATCTTTTTCAAATTCAAATCCCAGCTCTTTCAGTAAAACATTTAAAGACGATTTGCACATAGAAACAATGTTCTCATTTTCAGCTCATCGTTCAAAGATCGAAGGGTAAGATGTTTTTCTGGAAGAAAATATTCAAATTAAAAGTAGGTACATTTCAAAATTCATAGAATAGGAGAATTGATATTATAACTGCACTTCGAATACGAGATACAACTGAACCTTCAAATGTTAAAGAAAAATATATTTGACAATGAAGTTTTACTAGTTAACTAATTATCATACATCCAAGGCCTTTCCTGATACAGTTGTGACTGATGAAAATGGGGGTTATATTTGTTTAGAAATTTTCCTCACTAGTCAGTGTCGCGTCTGAGTCACGTGCATCGAATGAAATCTGCTTTCTTCTTGAGAGTGTGCTGCACCGATACACTTAATTTCATTGGTTAAAAATGACACTTTCCAAAATTTAACCAATGGTATAGCTAGAATTAGAAGTCCCGACGCAACACACTCAAACAGAAAACACGCGAAATAATATTTCCATCATATAGACATCCGAACAGTCAATTTGTATCGTCTTTCTTTCACCATGTACTAAAAAGATGTACTCACTGTCTTCATACATATCGTACAGAGTATATCATACTTCCATTTCCTGCCCTTCAGATAAATCAGATGTTTTCTTTTTGATACGATGTCTACTTTTTCCTGGAGTTGATGGAATGGGTTTGTGTTCATTCCTTTGTTTGATATTGAACACCGTTTTTGAGATATTTTAAGTGCATCTGCAACTCTCTAAAATACAGTTAAGAAAAGTTATGACATTTCTTTTATCATTTCAATGGTTACCTCTTGAACAGATGAAAATGGTAACAAAGGTCCTCCAAACGCCCTCTTCCTTTCAAAATATTCGCACAAGTTCAACACAAATTGTTGTGTTTGTGAATTAAGAATACTTCCAGGCATAATCTAAAAAGGAGTATAAATATATTGTACATGTTTTGGCATGACTTCATAGATTTAATTAAGGTTATTTCTCTCATTATTGTTTCCACACTCCCAATTACTCTTGTATAATATCCCGGTTATGCGAAATTATAGTCACAAAGGTCAATTGTGAGGTTGGAAATATTAAAGAACATTTATGAATAAAACACATTGTATTGTACTTACTTTGAAAGTAATGATGCTAAGACACGTTAAGCTTTGAAAAAAACTATTTTTGTAATATATTTGACTGCAAAATATTGTAAAACTGACGAAAACAATACCCAATAACATAAAACAGTGATACTGTCAACTGTCAATATCATGTCTGGCAGATGTAGGTAAATTGTAAAACACTGTCGGCTGTCTGGTTATCTCTTTCCACTGTTATGAGTATTAATTGATCATCACTATAACATATATATCTTCTTCAGGAAGTGTCACGAAACAATAGTTATTTAACACCCACAACACCGTTTCCATAATTGGTGCCATGCTTGCGAGAGACCCCTAACAAACTTCACCCGAGTGTCGACATGTATAATATGCAATAATGTCAAATCAGTGACACAATAACCGTGAACCTACTGATAAAAAAAACAAACCTTCACAGGGCTACATTATTCATACAAACAGTAGTAGTAGTAGTAGTAGATTATGTGACAAATGACTACTTTGACTAAAAAGTCGAAGTTGGGAATTTGTTAGTCATTGAATATCTGTGCATTATATGACAAATTACTACTTTCACTGAAAACACGAAGTTGGGAATTTGTTAGTCATTGAATATCTGTGCATATGATGAGTACTACTTTAAATGAAAGTTGAAGTTGACAATTTGTCATCATTGTGAATATATATGCATATACTGGCGTCCGAAATTATCCTCAATAAATCAGAACGCTATATATCAACTGCGCATGATCCTGACGTCCTGAGACCTGAATTTTGTAGAACCAGAACAAACCTACCTACTTATATCAAACAGCGACCCGTAAGTAATTATTTCTCAGTTATATTAGCTTCTGAAGTATTTGTTAGGTTGGTTATGTATTGAATGTTTCTATCATTATTAAGTTTTCATTTTACGTTTGAGAATTTATAAAAAAGATCTTCAAGTCATTTGTGTTGAAACAGCATTTTATATGTAATTTTCCTTTTGTTTAAGATTTCTGAACTGCAGTAAACATGGTTACGTGTTTCGTTCCTGGTTGTAAACACTACAGTGAAGAAAGGAATTGTAAATTTTTTGGATTTCCTGCAGACCCAGCTGAGAGAAAAAAGTGGATTAATCTCATAAGGTACCTGATCAGCATACTTAATACATAGATGAAGCATTTTATTGTTAAATCAATTTGCAGGAGACTAGATCGAGAACCATCAAAGCAATCATTACTTTGCAGTTCTTTGTTATTATGGATAAAAAAAATAGAACAACTTTTATTTGAATTCAATATGAAGAGAAAGTTCGACTTTAAATCTCCAGAAAAACGGCATGTTCACATGAATGAGAAAAGATATTACTATTCTTGGATTCAATAACTTTGTTTTCAGTAAAATAACTGTCAAGGGAAGAGAGGTTGAGGTGGAGCAACCAATATAAGTTCAGAAGCAGCAGGGCCTTCACAAATATCTGAAACAGAGACTCTTGCCATTTTAAATCTGTAAATGGTATCGTTTCCACATTGATACTTTTGATTCCTTTGGTGAATAAATATATGATTTCACTGATTGAATTCTTTGAATTTGGAAAAGTTCGCTAAGCTCCGCCTAGTTGTGATGTCAGGACTTAGGAAGTCTATTAGAAAAGTAAAATCTTTTCACATTTGACACTTTGTGGCCTCAGGAGCTCAAGGCTTCCTGCTAGTATTTTAGGGGGAGTTCTTATAATAACGGTTGATACAATTTATAGACTGACAGATGAATCAGGGAATTTGTTAACAAGTTTGGAACCAACTGAGAAAGGTGTGGATGTTAGGGAAAAGAATTATAGATATTTCAACTGGATCTGAGTTTGATTCAATTGGTTACCGTTTAGAATAAATTTCCCGTTTTTGTTTAGTATGCTATATAAGCTCCAGGGTTGATGAAGCGGGTGGCGCTCTACCCTCCATCTTATTCAAGCCCTTCTTCACTGTTTAAAAGCTGGCGGCCAACCCTGGGAGCTTTAACATAACCTCAACAAACATTACAACTCTTGAATTTTCATTAAAAACGTTACCTACCAATGGAGATTTTTTTCAAAATATGTAACAACTAACTGACACCAAATCAAAAATATACGCTAATGTCCTCATTAGCAATGCAAGCACATACAATAAATATATACATAATTACTTATGGCGTTTTAACATGTCAAATCGATTTGTTTGGAAAAGTTCGCTAAGCTCTGCCTAGTTGTGACGTCAGGACTTAGGAAGTCTATTAGAAAAGTAAAATATTCTCACATTTGACACTTTGTGGCCTCAGGAGCTCAATCTTTCCTGCCAGTATTGTCGGGGGAGTCCTTATAATAACGGTTGATACAATTTATAAACTGACAGATAAATCAAGAGATTTGTTAACAAGTTTGGAACCAACTGAGAAAGGTGTGGATGTTAGGGAAAGGAATTATAGGTATTTTAACTGGATCTGAGTTTGATTCAATTGGTTACCGTTTAGAATTAATTTCCCGTTTTTGTTTAGTATGCTATATAAACTCCAGGGTTGATGAAGCGGGTGGCGCTCTACCCTCCATCTTACCCACGCCCTTCTTCACTGTTTGAAAGCTGGCGGCCTACCCTGGGAGATATGCTCTATCTAATCCCTAGTTGCCACTCTCACGCCAAATTGTGGAACAACGAGAAATCGTTTATAAATTGACTTAATTAGTTGATGAGAAATGGAAGGCGTCACCTATCAGTCTTTTGAAAAATTAGTTCAAATATTTCTTAGTTTTTTTTATAATTTTTGCTATATAACAGATCAAAGCAATTTAATTTTTATATTCTTCAACACAGATCATATCACAGATCAATTCCATCAACTACAGGAAAAAGTAGACATCGTATCAAAAAGAAAACATCTGATTTATCTAGAGGGCAGAAAATGGAAGTATGATATACTCTGTACGATATATATAAAGAAAGTGAGTATATCTTCTAAGTACATGGTGAAGGAAAGACGGTACAAATTGACTGTTCAGATGTCTGTATGATGGAAATGTTATTTCACGTGTTTTCTGTTTGAGTGTGTTGCGTCGGGACTTCTAATTCTAGCTATACCATTGGTTGAATTTCGAAAAATGTCATTTTTAACCAATGAAATTAAGTGTATCGGTGCAGCACACTCTCAAGAAGAAAGCAGATTTCATTCGATGCACGTGACTTAGACGCGACACTGACTAGTGAGAAAAATTTCTAAACAAATATAACCCCCATTTTCATCAGTCACAACTGTATCAGGAAAGGCCTTGGATGTATGATAATTAATTAACTAGTCAAACTTTATTGTCAAATATATTTTTCTTTAACAGTTGAAGGTTCAGTTGTATCTCGTATTCGAAGTGCAGTTATAATATCAATTCTCCTATTCTATGAATTTTGAAATGTACCTAGTTTTAATTTGAATATTTATTTCCAGAAAAACATCTTACCTTCGATCTTTGAACGATGAGCTGAAAAATAAGGAAATTGTTTCTATGTGCAAATCGTCCTTAAATCTTTTACTGAAAGAGCTGGGATTTAAATTTGAAAAAGATGATAATCGAAGAGCTTTGGTTGAAAGACCTAATATCGTTTCACAACGAGCATTTTTTACGCAAATACCAGGAAAACCGAAGAAGTTTGAAACCACGAGAAGTGGTTTTCTTAGATGAAACATGGATTTATTCTAGAGGAAATAAAAGAGAGTTTTGGCAGGATAATAATGTGAAAAGTGCACGCGAACCCGAAGGAACCTTACCACCCAGATTTTAATGATATTGAATTGATTTGGGCTGATTGCAAAACCTACTATAACAAATATATTGGTAGAGATGGATACAGTGATGAAAAAGTATTAATATTTCCACATTTCAAGCTCTTCAACTTCTGAATACAGTGACTAGTTTTCATTCAGTTATTTTGTTCAAATAAAGAAACATATTATTTCCAAATTACTTCAAGACCGTCACAACCGTACGAAAGTGAACACCAATGCTTTTACACACTTTGGCGATCACGATCTTCAACCTCAGTTCATAGATGGCGCAGCTATATTTCCAGCTAATGCTTGTCTTCTTATATTTTGAGAATGTATTGAAATACTCTTGGAAGACAATATATACATAATGAAGCATAAACATATTTATCTGGTGTGCCTGACGTCACAGCCAAGCCCAGCTCTTAGCTGGACGCGTTAACAGAAGTCGTTACGCTATCGTTTAGAGGACAGATGCTAACACAGTTCTCGCCACCTGCGCGTCACCATTGACAGCGAAGGATGAGCGATGCGTTACGTCAAAGCCATCTCCGTTTCGAGAGAGTTAAGGACACACCGATGAATACGCATTACTCAGCCACACGCCGTGGAGTGAACATCACGTTCTCCTATCATTAAATAGTTGCTGCTGTGACGTCACACCAATAACTTGGTACGCTCACACCGATGGAACATTCATTACTTTGTGTATCTTTGAAAGAGAGGGCGTTACCAACTTTTTTCCAAACGGAAAGGGGGTTTTTAAGAATTGAGTCAATTGTCTATTCAACACTGTAATACTTTTGGAATTTCGAATTAACCATTGTATTATTTTTGGAATTTCGAATAAGCCATTTCTGTGTAATCAGCAGTTTCACATACGTTTTATGACAATGCCAACAAAATTTTGGAAGGAATATACTCAAGACGAATTCATCTCGATGCGCTCTCACATACTGAATGATGGCGTTCACGATCACAACTCGTTGGGCAGACGTGTGTTTATTCTGTACAAACTGGTACAGAGTACATATGAACGATAATGTCAAGTCCTAACTTTACCGTGTATGTCAAACCCAAAACACTATTTCAAAGTCGCCTTGTTCACATGTAAAGACTTCTTCAAAAGTTACTTTGTCGATATCGTGTGACGTATGTTGATGTCATTTCAAAATTGAAAGTGTCTTGCGACCTCCCCACAATCACAACTCGATGTGTTGACAGATGGTGATACGAGCCAAGCAGTGGTCGTTGGAACTTCAG